TGGGGAGCCTGTTTGGCTGGGTGCTTTATAAATGAAGGCTGTGTACCACGTTATATTGTATTTTACTAAAGGTTTTCTCTATGTTAGAAAACTCCTGTCTCCTTATGAAATATACTGCCAGTTTAAGGAGAGAATAATATATTTACTATAACTGTACTCAGTCTAGGAATAATTTTGCTGTAGAGATTAAATTTTTATATCATCTTAAAGAAAACCAACTCTTTGTCAGTCCCCAGGGGATCTGATGTCTGGCTGTTTCAAAACAGCAGGAGTGGCTCAGAATCTTAGCAGCTCTAAGTGGTGTTGTTGCTTTTTTTTTCCTTCTATTCCTGCAATATAAGAGCAGTATACTCCTTTTGCCCCGAAGTTCATATGTTTTAGGAGATTTTGAAAAAAAAAAAAAATCTTAGTTTTATTTCTAAGGTACTTGTTGGGTGAATATGGCTTAAGGATGAGTGAAGCTCACAACTATTCATATATCTGGTCTAGATTGAACATCTAATCTTTATGCAGGCCATTACCATCCATGAGCTTGCAAAATTCACTAGGAAGTGAATCCGCTCCAAAGATCAAGCTTTTTTGGTGGGGGATTAGTGCTGTTTATCACTACAGATAGGCTTGAGCAGGCATCAGGAGAGACTTTTTGGCAGAGGTTCAGCACTTCTCCTTGGTGCCTGCCCAGAATGATAAAGGATTTGGTCTGTGACTTGGGAACAGTTCTGATTTTCTAGTTTTTAGATCTGTTCTTCAAGGAAATAAGCTGTCGGGATCATGCTTTTGCTCTCTGTCGTTCATTGTATGTCTCTGTGTAACTTCTGGCACTTCCAGGCCAATTTCAAGCAGGTTTGGCAAAGGATTGGACCTTTTCAAAGTGTGAAGGTGCTACAAGCACGTGCTAGTGAGAGGCCACAGCAGAAGACTGTGCTGGAAACCAGCCCTGGATGGTTGTGTGGGGAACAACTGGCTTCAGAGGCGATGTCCTCTTTCTACTCCTGCGTCGCCAGAGGCACTTAATCATTCATTTTCAGTGTTACACTGTTCAAACCCATATGAGAGATTGCTTGTCTTTTAAGACCCAAACGGTGCTTCCATGCAGGCTTGTGAAGGGCAAACCAAAAGTGGAAGAAAGTGTACGTGCTACCTCCAGAAACCTGCAGCCTATAGCTGTTGGCTTCTGACGTGGGCCAGGGCCCCACTGCAGCGATGGTGGTGTAAACAGGGACTGAAAAAGGCAGAGATGGGTGATCAGGTGAGATGGGTGGGAGGAAGGGGGAGCAAAGAGAGAAGACACAGTTGCACATGGGAGTCCTCTCGAGAAGGTGGGCTGCTGGGCTCACTCTTCGTTAGGCTTGGGAGCTGTCTCTCTGTACCAAAATGTGGGTTAATGCATAGCCCAGGGAGCTCCCTGCTGAGAAGGAGCCTTCCCTGGGTTCCAGCCCAGGTGAATGAACCACACAAGCTGGGCTAAGAATAATTTCTGAAGTTATAGCAAAAACTTGCAGAAATGTGCCCTCCTTTGTGCAGCCCTAAAATGGCGCTAATAAAAGTGAATGAATGAATGGATTGGCTGGTTCTGCTGTAACCATTTGTTTTCAGTCCTGCCTCTCTTGAGGCATCTTTTCAGCCAGTTGGAAGCAAATTTCTTCCTCTTCTGTTTGGACATGAATTATCATTTTTGCCAAATATTACTTGAATCTTGTTTCGAAGTGCCGTACACTGAAGTGACATCCCAGCTACACAGATGAACCCTTCTGACAGCCTGAACTGGAGGATGAAATGTTTAACCAGCACAGAGACAGACACTGAGATCCTCCCTGTCACATCACACCTGGGAATATTCATCTTTGTGACTATCCCTGCAGGTGTGTTTGCTATCCTAGGTGGCGTTGAAAGAGAGGATGATGGTCTCATGATAGTACCCTGCCCAACACATATGGATTGATCACCTTAATTGATTCCTTTGGTGAAATTATGGGAATTTATCTCTGCTTACTGAGACAGGGTTTATAGTAGTAGAAGGACTGAGAAGTTCGTATGCAGAAATAACGGAATGTACTTAGTGAGGAGAGAGAAATGTGTGCTGGGGGGGCGGTGTGTGTGTCTAGTTGTCATGAATATGGTATTGGAATAAAGCAGTTAGTGGTGTTATAAGCTTGTCACTCAAAGCTGCTGGATATAAAGTCATGTCTTGGCATTTCTGTGGTGCCTCTGCAGCCAACGGAGAGGCGTCATTTTGCCAGGACCTTCGTTTTGCCTTGTCACAGCAGAGCTTGCTACCTTGGGACAGCTGAGGGCATGGGGGCACAGATGGGTCTATGTTGGCTCTGCCCATGTTTTGACTGTATTTTGGGAGAGATGGAGTGTGCGCCGTCCCTTGTGTATCTTTATTCTGTAATAAAACCACAGATGGGCAAGTATGGAAGGTGTCCTTGTGCTGTCCAGCAGCTCCCTCCCTGTTCTTCTCAGTCTGGTGGATGAGACCAAAGGTTTGACTGCAGAGTACACACAGCCTGCAATTTTGGTGCAGCCAGCTGGATTCCTTGGCAAAGATATCCTTGCTCCAGGCATCTCCTCCTGCTGCTAATACCAGCTCAGGACGACCAGGTTGAGGAACGTGGAAAAGGCTGGTACGGCTAGTTCCTGTGGTTGTTGGTATTTTGAACACCGAGAGGTAGATTCCTCACCTCTAATTTCAGATACTTTTACCAAGATGCTGTAGTTGCAGACCGATTCAGGTCTTGTGGTAGATGAATTATTCTTGGAGGGATGAGTCTTTCCCTGTTGACTTGAAGTGCAGAGCTGTGGATGAAGTGCTGCGTTGGGTGTTTGAGTTAATTGTAATCTGTGGATAATAACCCGAGCTTGTGGTTTTTTTAAACCTGCTTTAAAAAGAGCAAGGTCTGTGATGGTAGTGGTTCTGATATCCCACGGGGTGGGAACCCCAGGTTCCACTGCCCAGCGCCAAGGCCCTCTGTTCAGAGAGGCTCTGCCAGCCCTAACCCTTCTCAGAAAGTTCCCACTTCTCTTCAGCCTCTCTTACCGATGTCTAGATGAAAAACACTGATAGCAGAAGCACTGGGGAATTGAGAAATGTGATTAAAAAAAAAAAAGCAAAGCAAACTGGTAGATCCCAGGATACCTGTAGTAGAAGTATGAGCACGCTGTGTACTGTGGAAGGACTTCATAGCTCTGTGTTACAGACTTTCAGGCCAAGAACTAGCACTGATAGTAAGAATTTCTTATGGATTTTGGTGGAAATATTTCATGGGGAAGATGAAGGAATTAAAATTATAAACTGAGTTTCTGTTAGAATGTGTCTTATAGTGGTAAAACCCTCAGCTGATGAACTGAAGAAGCTGTTTTGTCTTTTTGGTGTAACAAGAAGCATGATCTAGGGTAACTTAAGGAAATTTGTGCATCTACACGTGCACTGTTACTGAATAGAATGGTCTGATTTTGATAAAAAATAAGATATTTTGAGAAGAATTTTCTCTTGGTGAGAATATTTTATTTAAAATACTCTTTTAATTCTATTGGAGTCTGTGTCTGAAATGAAATTGGTATCTCTTCTCTTTGTAAGCAAGCTGAATGGTGTGCCTCCAGCCATTTGGGTTAGGAAGTTCACGCAGGCCAGAAAGCTTCACCTTTCCTGGCTTTCTTGCCTTAACTCCTCTGGCTGTTGCTGAGCCTAGAGATGGGAAAAGGCAGCTTGGATATCTAATCCATCCCCATGTCGCAGCCAGCTGCTCCTTGCAGTTGATTTGTTATTATTGTCCTCAGATAAAATCTAATCAAGCCCAGTGCAGTCAGAGGGACTCCATCAACTCTCAGAAGCTCCCTAGCAGGGAAGGCTGTTTAGAGGTTCCTTGTCAGAAGGAATATTATTATTATTATTATCATCATCATTATTTATTATTATTATTTCTATTGAAGTGCTTCAAACTGTGATTTACATTGATAGATTATTTTCTTACTGCCTGACAATACTGATTTTTGAGGGAAAAAAGTGTTTATATCTGTGTTGCAGATGGAGAGGCAGAGCGTTTTGTCCAGGGCAATAGGAATCCGTGGTAGGTTTGGGAGCTGGACGATGCTCATCATGAAGCCCTGTGCATAACCTCGAGGTTATTGTCCCTTCAAAAGCATTAGTGGTGATGACAGTCTGTTCTGCTGTCAAAGTCAGGGCTGTGCCATTAAAATAGAGGAGAATATACCCTGGTGCCTTTATTTTAAAAACAAACAAACAAAACCTCAAACAAACCAACAAAATGGAATCATCTATCAGGTTTTTTTGTTTGTTTCTGACAAAAAGAAGAGCGTAAGTCTCTGCTAATGAAAAATATTAAAATTCCAGGTGTCCTTTGTAATAAATAATAACATGAGCGTGAACTTGGCTTCCCACAATCACCACCAAATCATCAATACAGCTCTTTTTTTGTGCAGCTTGTTTTGAACTTTGCCTATTTCCTTCAGCTATGCAGATATAAATAAATATTTCCACTTGATAAAGGTCTGAGAATGCTATACTTTAAAAGATAAGAAAGCTTTGAGGGGAAATTGTTTTTAAATCCGTAACATTTGTATGCTGTTCGCTGTTCATACTGAGCAAAAATTCATTCAGTTGGCAGTTAACCAACCCTATTTTATTCTTGTTCTGTGTTCAACCTATCCTTCTCCTGGGGACATCTAACCTCATGTGTAATTACCTCTCTGAGAGTGGGAAGGAGGCCTAAATAACCTTCCTAACAACTAAATAAAGGCATAGATCCCTGGAACAGGTTATCTGTTGGATGCTGTTGGCAGAGCTATTGGGAACAGTGTGCCTGAGCCATTTCAAGACTTGAGTCATTTTTATTCTAGCATTGGGCCGAAGAACTAGAATTTGAAATGTTTTCAGAAAACCCAAGCAAAACACCCTGGATATTGAAATTATGTTTCTTTGATAGCTTGGAAATGACAGTGATGAATTTAACAGTGATGGTGGCTTTTTTTCTCTCGAGGTCTGTCCAAGTCACTTGGTCTCATTGAAGGCTATGGTGGACGTGGTAAAGGTGGGCTTCCAGCCACCCTGTCCCCTGAGGAGGAGGAGAAAGCAAAGGGACCACATGAGAAATACGGCTACAACTCCTACCTCAGTGAGAAAATTTCACTGGATCGTTCCATACCAGATTATCGTCCAACCAAGTAAGTACCAGTTGCTCCACGAAGGGTTGCACGTGTTTAGGTATCTTCTGAGAGCCAGGAGTGATGGTTGCTTTCATAGTCTTGTGTGATACTGTTCACTCTTTCAAAAAAAACAGTGCTCAGAGCCATGCCTCAGTAGTGAGCAACCAGTGTAGTTTGGCTGAAACTGAGATAGTTCATGAAAATGATTTATCAGGGTTAAAGAACGAATTTCTTCCCATGCTTTGTCTCTCTCTCTCTCTCGTTCTTTTTGTGTTCCTAAAGCGATACGTTATTTTGGGTGGTAGTAATGCAATCAGAAGCTCACATCTGCTTTCGTCAGCAAAGGGCTGTTCACTGTTCCCTATTGGCCTTTGATGTTTATTACCCTGTATATGTGTGCAAAGACTCTCCCTTTCTCCTCCCTTGTCAGCTCCTTCATGTCCCTGCAAGACCTCCAGGGCTGTCTCTGGCTGCCCTCGCACTCCTCCCAGCGCAGTCCTCCTCCTGGGACACTGCTGTGGGACCTCTGTTGGTCTTTAAGCAGCCCAGACAGGTTGCTGCGAGGGAGGGGGCAGAAGTGCTTTAGCCCTTTGCCACTGCAGTGGCAGGAGGAAGGCGTGAGAAAGGGCTTAAATATCAGTCAGAAGGAGTGACACCCTTTGAAGGGAGCCCAATGGATTGAGTAGCAATATCCTTTCTCTACTATTTTTCCAGACTGACCTTTTAAGATGATGGTGATGATGATGTTTACCTGCTAAGCACCGTAGAAGAATAGACTTTAAATGAGATGGCAAATCATTTTGTTAAGAGTATGAGAAGAGACATGCTGTGAGTTTATCTTTATGAAAGTTAATTTTAGATATGGATAGCAGAGTGTTCCTCAAAATAGGAAAGCGTCGATTTGTCAGGCCTGGAGTGAAATCCCTGATAAAAAAGAGCTGAGGGAGATTTAGATTCTGAAAGATACATGTCCGATGCCTCTGTCGTTAGGACAGTGACAAAGCCATTGCTTGGCATCTGCAAACCATTGAAAATCATGCAGCAAGGGGATGCAGCTACATGTCTCCAGCATACTGGCAAATTGTTAAGGTTGTGAGAGCATGAAGAGCTTTTGTTCCTTCACTTCTCTGCATGCTGCATGAATTTCAAGCAGCCACTCAGAGTTTCCAAGGCTGTCAACCACTGACAACAGAAATATTTGGATGAGTTTTCAAAGGAACGGAGGCCCAGCCTCCAATTCTGCTGGCACGGTTAGTCTGGGCAAAATGAATCGCAGGTACAAATTGCACCTTGGGCTATATGATATGCAAATCCCACTACAATGACAAATCCTTGAAGTGAGACCTTCTCTAGCAGTTACCTGAGTCTGAGCTTCTTATTTTCATTTCTCATCCAGAACCCTGACTTCTAGCAGAGCCAGCATTACTTTGTGGGAATTAATTTGAAAAGTAATGTTTTTTCAGATCTTGGGGGGAAGAGGAGGATTAATTCTGACATTTTTAGGTTTGCATTGTATTCTTTCTCAGTGCCACTATCTGTCATTTCATGGGGAGGGTGGTGGAGAGGACAGAGCAGACACGGCAATTTGTTAAAAATGCATCATTTTGGAGCTGGGCTAATACTTTGGAGAGAATTTGTGGGTACAGACTGCAGCTGCATAACTTGGTGTCTTTTATCTACGTAAGAACTTCAGGAGTGTGTTTTGCTTATTGGGATTTGGTTTTTTGGGTTTTTTTTTAGGGATCAGTTGTCTTGGTATTGTAAGAGAGCAGTTCGTCTAGTAATGAAATAGGCTTGAGTTTGCTGGAGGATTCGAAAAGTTTCAGCTTTTTCTGTATCTATATAAGATCCATTCGCCGTTTTGTGCATGCAATTTTATGGCTGATTTTATGAAGGGTTTAGTACAAACCATTTAAGTCAAGTATTCTGGTCTCTGATTAAAATAGATTCAAGTCAAAGGAAATTAGCCTAAATGGTTTTGAAATTGCGGCATTAGTGGGTAAAACTGTTGAAAACCCTCCAGCTGATAAGCATTACAAAGCATCTATTAGTTTTAAACATAATAGTGAAGCCTGTTTGGTTCAGCTGAAGGCTGTTC